AGTTTGAAGTGTTCAACACTTTTGCTGCAAAGAGAGAAAATTAAGGCCAGAGTATTAAAACTCGATTTCATTCCGAGACACGTCATCAAAACCAGACTCCCTCACCCTCAACCCAAGTCTCCTAAGGTATACACAATTTAGAGTGATACCATAAGATAGCACTCATCAAATTACACACTGATGTGTGCTTACTTTGAAGTGAACCCATTTCATCATCATTTATTCAATCGTTATTGAGTGTCACCAAATCTCTCGGTAAAACTATTAATACTAAAAAATAACAGTGTGACCACATCTTAATTTAGACGTGTATAATTTTAGCCCAAACCAGCGCTATCCTCAGCTATAAGTAGTATAAATCTAAAGAGATATCTCAGATGTGTGTCAGGTTGTTGAATAAACAATCTAGCTCATACCAATGACCAATGGTGTGACAAGGGATCGATGTGTTAAGTGTTGAGCGAATCTACTTTGCTAATACTAAAAAACTCATGTATTCAACCAACCAACATTGATTTAATCGTAGTATATATCAACATGTGCTCATAAGCTATCGACCACCAAAGTGAACTCTAGATCCACCAAGAAGGACGTCATGCGAGCAGAGAGCAAGGTACTAAGTTCATGATTGTGCAAGTATCAAGTTACGCAATTTTGTCATTACAGCCAAAAAATCCCTGAAGATCACATTTACGATATGTAGTAGCGAGGATTTTTCTCTAAATCAAAAATGATATAATATGACAGCCAGTGACTCCTACATGACATGTGTACAGCTGAGTAACCTAGCTGACAATAACATATTAAGGAGTACCTCTCTCACGAACAAATTGCAAGTGTACACGCAAATCAATTATGCAAGATCAGAAAATATTACATCCTAAACCTGTAATATTCGTTCAGAGGTATCATGGGAACTATGCACATTAGTCTCCATATTTTATAGAGCTATTTTGCCGAACATTATAAACACCACATATTAGTACCTTATCTCCAACGATTGCTCCTATCCGATAATACGCTTTCTGTTAAGACGTCAGCGTATTTTGAGCTTATTCACCAGTTGATTAAACATTTTTTCATCACTATTAAAATGAGGCTATCCAAACTGAGTCACTTATTTCGATCGGGAAAGAAGAAAAAAATGTGAATGATTTCCAGACGATTGCTCATATCCAAAATATGTTGTATTTCTAGACACACAGATAACTTGTTCATTTTGGTCCAACCTCGCACCATAACTGTAGACTAAAATACTTTGACTTCTTTAATTCTCGATATATTTACCCTCTGGAGATAAAATAGTGTGATTTCTGATCGTGATACAGAGATCACACCAAACTAAACTGGAAAAGGGCCGAATTCCCTGAACACTTTTGAAACGTCAATAATGTACTAAGGCACCTAACACAAAAAATCACACAATATTCAATTCATTTCTTCGTGTATTTCTTAATTTTTTTTTGCATATCTTTATCATTTAAATTCCTCAGATGATTCGCTATTTGGCCTCAGTGGAGTCCCTTTAATCATTTTGATAAGATATTTGAAAAATAGTAAATGTTTTCATATTTTTGTTACAATTTAAACTGATGCTCATAGATTAGTTGCCTCCGTGTAGTCCCTTTAATTATTTTGACAAGATATTTACAAAAATAGTAAATGTTTTTATGTTTTTGTTACAGTTAAAACAGACCCTTGTAGATTTGTTGCTGATGTTTCCAATCCTGCCAACTCTGATTATACCATGCATGGAGGTTTTAATTCCAGTCTTTATGTATATTGGGATGATACCAAAAGTGTTTATATCAAAGGAAGCAAGGGTATGAGATGGATATTCACATTATACAGTCTTTTAAGTAGAGTCTGGTGATATTTGGATGAAATAGAGTTTTAATATTAGCCTTAATTTTCTTTTGACAAAAGTGTTGAAATTAACAAAATTAAGTCTTAAAGTATACAAGATGATTTTATTAAATTTATATTGTTGTAACAATGTATGCGCTTTATTCAGATAAATTTAGGAAAATAGTATGATTACATGCGGGGTTGGCTGAGCTGTCCTTAAAACACCTTGTGAGGTGATTTTAAGAATGGGCCAAAATTATCGAAACAGACAAGTATAGGGATTTTAAAAACAACGATATTATTATAACAATTAGATTCTAGTATAAGAACAATGTCATAAATAAATAATTTAATCTCTTTAATTTTCAGTCAACTCAATTGAGAATTTAAAAGTTGTTTAAAATATCGATTACCCTTTGTTACAGGTTAACAATTCTCCTTTGTCAAAAAATACAAGTTGTTCTTAAACTCCTGTATAATTTATATTCGGTTTAGCAAAACAAAGTGACAAATTGTCCCGGAAAGTCATTCAAAAACATAAATTTCCACTAGACCTTACTGTATATGTTACGTAAACTTTCGCTCACACACTTCATATTAAATCCCCAACTTAGTTTGGCGCAAATTTCCAACAATATAATATTCGAGTGTGTGTTCTCAGGCTAATTCAATGTTAGAAACAACTTGATACAATTTGAACATGTCATAGGATGTTCGTAATAAAATTTACAGTTTTTAAGAAACATTCCAGTAGGTAACCCTACCCTCCTTACTACTGGCTTATTGTGTTGCGTACAAGAAAATTTCGGTAGCTCATCATACTCTCTAATACAGTACTCCGTATAGGTATAATTACACCCAACTAGGTAACTTTTTCATGTCACCTAAATTCAATTTCGAGTATTTTAACAACCTTTTAATGTAGTCAAACTCCATTAATAGATAGCGCCAGGAATTGTTTATGACGTTCATCATTACAATATTTTATATTAATTTTACAAGAGATGTGTAGCGGGATTATTATCAAGTATTTTCTTATATCAAAAATTTGTAGGCATAGCTATCCATTCAATACAATTGTATATGTATTGTAGGAAAACCCAGATAGTAACAAACGCAAAGGAACAAATTGAATAGTCCGCCAAACTGTTGGTTTAGAGAAAGCTTCATACTATGATACCATTGCAAAAGCCAAAGCAAAAAAAAAAAGATAGATACCCTCGTCTCAAGTCGTACAAGAATTTACAGACTTCTATGAAAAGGGTATAAGTTTGTATTATATGGTTAGTTCGTGCACTATTGTTTTTTGTTTTAAATCAGTTAATTCAACTCTCTACTTTATATATAGTTATTTAGAGCTGTATGGCTTCAGTGAGGGACGTCTCTTTTGCCAATGGCCTTACTCATAGGTTGATTGGGACTTATTTGTACACTTTGTATAAGTTAATTGTCTGTCATCTGTCTTTACTATATTGAGCTAAACTCACAAGTTGGATATATCTTAAATTCTACCTGTTCTAATAACTTCATAATTGGCACACATGCTTATCAATACAAATTAAAAGATATTTTCAAGGTTATAAGTCTGTGCCATCCATTTATAGCTCACCTGTCACAAAGTGACAGGGTGAGCTTTTGTGATCGCTTTTCGTCCAGCGTCCGTCCGGCGTCCGTCCGTAAACTTTTACTTTAAATGACATCTCCTCATAAACCACTAAGCCAATTTCATCCAAACTTCACAGGAATGTTCCTTTGGTGGTCACCTTTAAAAATTGTTCAAAGAATTTAATTCCATGCAGAACTCTGGTTGCCATGGCAACCAAAAAGAAAAAAACTTTAAATATCTTCTTTTTAAAAAACCCAAAGAGCTAGAGCTTAGATATTTAGCATGAAACAATCTTCTAGTGAGTGTTACCAAGTTTGTTCAAATAAAAGCCCTGGGGTCAAAATTGGGCCCCGCCCCGGGGGCACATTGGTTTTCCCTATATGCATATAGTAAAAACTTAAAAAATCTTCTTTTTAAAGAACCCATAGAGCTAGAGCTAAGATATTTAGCATGAAACATGTTCTAATGGGTGTCTACCAAGTTTGTTCAAATAAAAGCCCTGGGGTCAAAATTAGCCCCGCCCCAGGGGGTCATTGATTTTCCCTATATGCATATAGTTATAACTTAAAAAATCTTCTTTTAAAGAACCCAAAGAGATAGAGCTAAGATATTTAGCATGAAACATGTTCTAATGGTTGTCTACAAAGTTTGTTCAAATAAAAGCCCTGGGGTCAAAATTGCCCCCCCTCCCCCCCAGGGTCATTGATTTTCCTTATATGTGTATAGCAAAATTGGCCCCGCCCCAGGGGTTATTGATTTTTGTGTTGCCTCTGCGGAGTAGTGGCGACATATAGGGATCACTTCTCCGTCGTCTGTCTGTCCGTCTGTCTGTCCGTCTGTCCGTCACAAAACTTGTCCGGACTACTCCTCATAAACTACTGGTGCAATTTCATCCAAACTTTACAGGAATGATCAGTACCAAGTCTAGTTGTGCATATTGTCAGCATTTTCCGGTTCAATGATTTTTGGCAGAGTTATGGCCCTTTAATAATTTTTAATTTTAAAGTTTGTCCGGACTACTTCTCTTATACCACTAAAGCAATTTCAATGAAACTTTACAGGATTGATCTGTAGCTCAAGTCCTTGCGCATATTGCAAGGGTTTTCCAGTTGAATGATTTTTGGCCGAGTTATGGCCCTTTGAAAAAAAAGGTGTTTTTTTCTGTGTGTTGCCAGATACACAAAAGCTTGTCCGGACTACTCCTCATAAACTACTGGTGCAATTTTATCCAAACTTTACAGGAATGATCAGTACCAAGTCTAGTTGTGCATATTATCAGCATTTTCCGGTTCAATGATTTTTGTCAGAGTTATGGCCCTTTATTAATTTTTATTTTTAAAGTTTGTCCGGACTACTTCTCTTATACCACTAAAGCAATTTCAATGAAACTTTACAGGATTGATCTGTAGCTCAAGTCCTTGCGCATATTGCACGGGGTTTTCCGGTTGAATGATTTTTGCCGAGTTATGGCCCTTTGATAAAAATGTGTTTTTTCTGTGTGTTGCCAGATACGCAAAAGCTTGTCTGGACTACTCCTCATAAAAATGGTGCAATTTTATCCAAACTTTACAGGAATGATCAGTACCAAGTCTAGTTGTGCACTATCCGTCTGTCTGTCTGTCTGTCACAAACTTTGTCCCAACATGAAATTGGCCATCATGAGGCGACACATGTGATTACTGATCGCTCTTGTTCTTATATGTGTATAGCAAAAACTTAAAAAATCTTCTTTGAAAAAAACCCAAATAGCTAGAGTTTAGATATTAAGCATGAAACATCTTCTAGAGAGTGTCTACCAAGTTTGTTCAAATAAAAGCCCTGGGGTTAAAATTGGCCCCGCCCCAGGGGGTCATTGATTTTCCCTATATGCATATATTAAAAACTTAAAAAATCTTCTTTTAAAACACAAAAAGAGCTAGAGCTAAGATATTTAGCATGAAACATGTTCTAATGGGTGTCTACAAAGTTTGTTCAAATAAAAGCCCTGGGCTCAAAATAGGCCCCGCCCCGGGGGTCATTGATTTTCCTAATATGTGTATGGCAAAAACTTAAAAATCTTCTTTGAAAAAACCCAAATAGCTAGAGTTTAGATATTAAGAATGAAACATCTTCTAGTAAGTGTCTACAAAGTTTGTTCAAATAAAAGCCCTGGGGTCAAAACTGGCCCCGCCCCAGAGGTGTCATTGTTTTTAACTATATGTGTATAGTAAAAACTTAAAAAATCTTCTTTTAAAAAACCCAATGAGCTAGAGGTTAGATTTTAAGCAGGAAACATCTTTTTGTTGGTGTCTTCCAAGTTTGTCCAAATAAAAGCCCTTGGGTTTAAATTGGCCCTGGGGGGGGGGGGGGCAGAGGTCATTGTTTTTCATTATATGTGTGTAGTAAAAACTTAACATCATGAAACATCTTCTAATGGGTGTCTTCCAAGTTTGCTCAAATAAAAGCCCTGGGGTTTAAACTGGCCCCGCTCCGGGGGCCTATATACAGGTGAGCGACCTCAGGGCCATCATGGCCCTCTTGTTTCAGTTATTTCCCTTTTTATCATTTGACTATACCAGTCCTAACCCTTAGTAGTATGGCATTGCGGCAAGTTGGATATAGCTTAAGTTTCTCCCAGCATCTTTATTTCTATTTAATGATACTTCCATATTTGTAAGGCAGACACCGTTAATGGTCCTTTCACCTTGGGTTGAGTTTTAAGATTATTGGTTTCAAACCAAAGGTTTTGCATTTATACTTGTACATACATGTATTTGATTAACTTTTATTGGTGTGTTGTATCTTAGATCAGCTGACGTTCCATACTTCTATCTAACTATCTGGATATGGAACGGTGGTGGTTCTACTCTGGTGCCCATTTGTGCTCAAATTAAAACACAGAAGTTTACTTTATGACTTCCTCCACTATTAAATCTGGAACGTTGCCATATGAGCTATATGTGGACATAACAACCCCCTCCCCCTGCCACCCCCCCCCCCCCCCCAAAAAAAAAAAAAAAGAAAGAAAAAAAAAGTTAACAGAAAGGGGGTTCAAGCATGATCATTTAAAATTGCAAGAACTTTTTTTCACTTAACTCACCAGTACTCAATTTCTTATCTACTATCCAGGCTTAGAGGCAGAAATGTTTACTTTAAGGCTTTAAGGACATACATTGTAGTTTCCATTAAATGTCATTGTTTGAAATTTTGTTTTTGAAAAATTTCAGGTCAAAAGTAGTGAAGTGATACCTCCAATATCAGAGATATTAAAGTTTTCCCGGTTGTTTGAGAACACTTTAACCCTGGATGATCTCAGTATAAAACAGTTACAGGGTCTGTGTAAACTACTAGGTATCGGGTTCCTGAGTGATATACCCAATGCTAGAGTACTCCGATTCCAGATTGAAACACGAATGAGAGAACTTACGGTGGATGATAAGGTACAACATTTGACTCACAGAAATTTTTATGTTGTGTTTCATTAGATATAAAAGATATTTTTGTATTACTTTGTATGTTTATGGAAACATACACACTTACATTTATAACACATAGTATGAAATATTTGATTGCCTATGTAAAAGGAAGAATCTATTATTATTAAAATAATTTATTATTATTATTATTATTACTTTTATTGTACATCTATGTGTAGAGTATGTATTCAGTATTATGTACTTGGGGCAAAACTAATAGGGCTAGATTGTGTTACTTTAGCTATTTTTTGGATTTCTTAAAGGCACATTATGCCAGAAACGAATACATATTTACTTCTATAGAAAAGGCAAACATGAATTGTATAACATTTAAATAATGGTTTAGAGCTTGTGAGATGCTTGTTACCTGAAGAAAGTGTAGCTAAATGCAAATTTTATTAAGCATAAAAGTAGCAAAATGTAATCAAAGTAGTATTTTAACTTTCATACAAAATAATAAATCACTATAAGCCAAAATAGACTCTTTTTATCCCAATTTCAAAAAAGAAAAGAAAAAAAAAACTATCCCAGGAGCAGCTCAAAAATAGAATTGTTTCAAGGCAAATTTACAACTTTTTAAAATTTCTCAAATTTCCCAAAATGCCAAGTAATTTTTTCCCTATTAATGCTAGGGCCCTTTTTGCAAAATTGCTGGATAAAGCCATGGTTACAGATAATTTTGTTGTTTCTTACAGTTTATTTTGCGTGATGGTATAGACTCTCTAACTACTGAAGAATTACAGGCAGCTAACAGGGCGCGTGGTATGCGAGCACTCGGTGTATCAGAGGAGCGTCTAAAAATACAGCTCGAGCATTGGTTGGAACTTCATCTCAAGGTATTTGTCTTATTTTTTGCCTATTTACAAAAGGAACATTAAAGATTTTTCATCTTTAATCAGAACAAGTCAAAGTTTTGTTGATTCCCGGCTTATATCAAATTAAAAAATTTGATATATTCTAGTCAAATATGTATACCAACCTAGAACCAGTCTGGTTTAATGTTATTGATAGATAGCCTAAAACTAGTTGAAAATTCATTAACATGTATTCTATTATAGTAGTATCTTAATCTGAAACTTTTATTTGGCTGAAAGTGATTTTGCTAGGCTACGGTCACTGGAGGAGTAAATCTGCAGGTGCGATGTGGCCTTGAAAATAATACCTAGATACTCTTTCATTGACCTTGATTTAACAATACCTTTTATTATTAATAAGGTTTTCAAGTTTGAAAATGTTTATTAGAAAATTTCGGATATTTAGAATGTGGTCGGTGGTGTAACAGGTGGTTTCTGGTTGATAACTAGAGTTAGGACTGAGATATTGTCATCAAACTTGGTATATAATAATATATAGCAAGTTTATGTGGAAACCTCTATTGGGATTGTTATATGCCCGAAAGAATTTCGGACATATTATGTTATACCCCCTGGCGTCCGTCTGTCCGTCCGTTAGCAATTTGGTTTCCGGAGCATAACTTAAGTTCCATTTGGCCCACAATATTCAAACTGTCCATATTGGGTAGAAGACCCCTATTGATTTTGGGGTCATAAGGTCAAGGTCACTATGACCTTAAAACTGAAAACAGTTTCCGGAGCATAACTGAAGTTCCATTTGGCCTACAGTGTTCAAACTTCATAGGATGAGTGTCCATATTGGGTAGAAGAACCCTATTGATTTTTGGGTCACAAGGTCAAAGGTCAAGGTCACCATGACCTTAAAACTGAAAACAGTTTCTTGAGCATAACTTAAGTTCCATTTGGCCCACAGTGTTCAAACTTTATAGGATGATTGTTCATATTGGGTAAAAGACCCCTATTGATTTTGGGGTCACAAGGTCAAAGGTCAAGGTCACTATTACCTTAGAACTGAAAACAGTTTCTTGAGCATAACTTAAGTTCCATTTCGCCCACAGTGTTCAAACTTCATATATGATTGTTCATATTGGGTAGAAGACTTCTATTGATTTTGGGGTCACAATGTCAAAGGTCAAGGCCACTATGACCTTAAAACTGAAAACAGTTTCTGGAGCATAACTTAAGTTCCATTTGGCCTACAGTGTTCAAACTTCATAGGATGAGTGTCCATATTGGGTAGAAGACCCCTATTGATTTTGGGGTCACAAGGTCAAAGGTCAAGGTCACTATGACCTTAAAACTGAAAACAGTTTCCGGAGCATAACTTTAGTTCCATTTGGCCCACAGTGTTCAAACTTCATAGGATGATTGTCCATATTGGGTAAAAGACCCCTATTGATTTTGGGGTCACAAGGTCAAAGGTCAAGGTCACTATTACCTTAGAACTGAAAACAGTTTCTTGAGCATAACTTAAGTTCCATTTGGCCCACAGTGTTCAAACTTCATAGGATGATTGTTCATATTGGGTAAAAGACTTCTATTGATTTTGGGGTCACAAGGTCAAAGGTCAAGGCCTCTATTAACTTAAAACTAAAAACAGTTTCTGGAGCATAACTTAAGTTCTTTTTGGCCCACAGTGTTCAAACTTCATAGGATGATTGTCCATATTGGGTAGAAGACCCCTATTGATTTTGGGGTCACAAGGTCAAAGGTCAAGGTCACTATTACTTAGAAATTGAAAACAGTTTCTTGAGCATAACTTTAGTTCCATTTAGCCCACAATATTCAAACTTCATAGGATGATTGTCCATATTGTAGAAGACCCCTATTGATTTGGGGTCACAAGGTCAAGGTCACTATTAACTTAGAATTGAAAACAGTTTCTGGGGCATAACTTAAGTTCCATTTGGACCACAATATTGAAACTTTAAAGGAGGATTGTTATTTGAAGAAGGTAATACTTTATTTAATTCCCATGTCTTACTTTTGGCCATATAATGCTCCGCCTAGCGGTGCTCTTGTTTTAAGATTTTCTAGGGTCAAGGTCAAAGTCACTGTTACTAAAAATAGAAAAATGTACTGTGTGAAAACCTGGTGTCATGGCACTGCCATGTTACTTTTTCTTGTACTTTTACACTAATGCACTGTAAGTTAATAATGTTGAACCTCATTATTCTTCATTTTTTTGTCATCTTTTTGTTTTTTGTCCATGTAAGCAGTATATGCAACAGGAAAAAGTCAATAGTAAGATTTTTTTCTATTTTTGTGCATTTCTTTAACGTCAAGTTTTGTCATGTTTGATGTTCATTTTCAGGAAAGAGTTCCAACTAGTTTGTTATTGTTATCAAGAGTCATGTACCTTGATGAAAACTTGTCACCTGCAGAACAACTGCGACAGACTATCTCATCTCTCCCAGACACAACTGTAAGTATATAGTCGTAGATTGTTGACTTAACCTGCTGGAACTGAAAATGTTTAGCCCCTTTACCACCAGTATAGAGCAAGGTCGGCCTGAATATCCTTGCAGTCTGACCAGGCTTTATACTGTTGGAGGCTAAGTTTTTGTATTTGTATTTTCTGACTGAAGGTTCACGACAAACTTAACAACAAGTAGTTCTCAAAACAGCTTAAACTAGCGATTTAAAATAAAGAAATATTTTTATTTTGTTACAAGTATCCAACAAATTACAATGCATTCAAAGTTTAAAAGTAGCGTTGTCTTATAGAATTGTCAATAAAAGCACAATCACAAATAACGCGGATGAATTTGATTTTAATCAATGAAAATGCTATTTTTAGCGATGTCGATTACCGAATACTGCACAAATGACTGCCGAGTAGTGGAATTTATAGATTTTACATGTCGGACTGTTTCGGCGAGAAGATTTCCGCTAAATTATTTACTTCAATTTTAAACAACAGGGTTATCCTGAACAAAATACCTCGAAATTAGCAAGGATTACAAACCCGGAATGCAATGGAAGTTCTTAATTTAGAATGACTAGATTTTATTCAGGCATCGTTTATATAACTCCTCCGTAGTGCAGGGGTAACGCGCTCGTCTAGTGTGTGAGAGGTCTGGAGTTTAAATCCCAGTCGAGGCAGCTTTTTTAAAAAAAAATTTTTTAAGTGTCTTTGTTAAGGAAGTAGCCATAATATGCAAGGATAAAGTGTGGCTGTCATAAGAAATTAACATAAATGATTTTTTGATGC